TCTTTGACAACACTAAGTGCCATTCATTGGCTCACAAAGCTTTGATTTGGTTTTCTTTTTTTTTTGAAGGTAAACTATTTCTTTATATTGATTACATTAGTTTTTGACTAAATATATGTATATATATGCACCAATGTATACACACACATTTACATAAATACATACATAAAACATACACATATTTCTATAAGATGTATAAATATATAGCTATATTTATGCTTTTTACTCTCTGTACTGTTGGTTTGATGCCTGCATAAACAAAAAAATTCTTCACCAACCAATGGTTCTTCAACTTAATGCTATTTAGAGTCAACAAGGTCACCAAGAATCCTTCATGATTTAAATGCCATTCTGGAAATTCTGAGGTATCCATTCTCAGAGAATGATGAGTTACTGCGTCCTTATTCTGTCCAGTTTGGTAAAAACATTGTTAGATAAGCACACCCATAATCAATCTAAATTACCACAAATGTAACATATATGTATAATATATATCATATATATGTCATAATACATGTTTATATGTTACTATTATGATATGTAATACATCATGTAATATATTACTATATATATAACTATATATATGTATGTATATATTACAGTGAGTTTTAAGACCATCATTTTCATTATCAAAACTAACCATCAAGGCTCTGTGAGATTTTAATCACAGTGATGAGGTTGCAAGCATACCCGCTTACACATGTGCCCACATATGGAGAGCCCTAGTGAAAGAGACTTGACCTTAGAGCCAATTGTGTATAGAGGGGAGACATTTTCTTTTTTTCCCAAGAGATTATTTTTTTTATTAGTTTAAATTAGAAACAAGCTTACTTCACATGTCAATCCCTTCTCCCTCTCCCTCCCCTCACCACCCAACTCCCCATGAGCCCCCCACCTCATCCCCCCTCTGCTCCCCAGGGAGGGTAAGGCTCTCCATGTGGATTCCCCAAACTCAGTCATATCATCCTGGGCAAGGTCTAGGCCCTCCCCCATTTGGTTTTCTTATAGTCACTTTGCTGTTTTCCAGTAAGTCGCTACAGTCTATATGAAAATACTCTATCGTATAGAGCTAGTTGACACAGCTGTGAATTACATGGTAATTCTATGCTCTCTACCTCAGTCTTAGCTCTTACAGCATTAGAGAAGGAAGATGTCTTTTTCATGCCTCTAACGTTACAGTAGTACAGGTGCCAGTTTTGCTTTGTAATTTCACCCCTTTCTATCTCTGGAAAATGTTACAGCATCAAAAATAATATTTACACCCTGCTACACCTGTTATGATACTCAGATTCACTTATAGACTGTCTCACAACACAACATATGATTAATACAAAACACTGGGAAATACTTTCTGGGAAAATCATACTATTGGATTTTTACAGAAATTTCCAATTTTTTCCTATACTATATTTTATGGCAGACCATGAAATGCTATGGGAATTTATAGTGGAAACATTAGCAACACTCAATTAAAGAAGTAAAGTCCCATAAATAGTATAGTAAGTGGTTGGACAAAACATTATGCCTCTCAAAAATCTATTTAAAAATAGAATTCATATTGAGACATTACATTTTCTATGTTTCAGCAATTAAATATGAAACTTGATAATTCATAATCCTGGAATGGATGTTAGGTAGGATGTCTCAATTCGTTCATTTGAATTCAATTAAAGGGACTCACAAGCCCAGATAATTGGGGATGGGAATTTCGAATTAAAGGCCCTAATTAAAACCATTGGTGATATTATTCCTCGATGTACTTGTTGTGGCCAGGGTTGCCAATTACTGTTTTATGGGCAACAGAATAAAGAACTGTGCATTCAATGTTCTCCTTTCTTTTTTCTTGGTGAATCTTCATCTCTAACAGTCCAGATGTGGCTACTGTGTGCTTCATTGATGAGTTTTGGCTTATCAAATGCTGTCAACATATTTTAGGTACTTGCATGCATTTAATTAAGCCTGCCAAAAATCAGTAGTCAATGACATAATTCATCTACATATTCACAAAATATTGCAAAATCACACAGAACAATGTTTATTAGGTCAACTTCATATATTGTTCCATGATATATGCAAGTAAATATTGGAAAAATTAATAATAGTATGATAATTAAAAGTCCCACCATATTTTTACTTGGATATTAACTGAACTTACTGCATTTCATGTTTAGTAAAAAATAAGTTAGTTTTTTTCCCTCCTTATGTGGGTGCTACCTGAACATACATACATACATATGTCTGTACCTGCATACATATTAGTATACATACACACACACACACACACACACACACACACACACACACACACATATATATATATATATATATGCATTTAAAGGACTGTTAAGGGGATGAACTAATGAGTTTAATAACAAAATGAAGTTACTTGAGGTTCCCTGTTTTGAAGTTCCTGGAATAAATGCAGTTTCTTGAATAAATGTAACAGACTCAGAATTCATCTTCCTTCCCTCTGGTTACAGAGAAGAACTGTGTGTAAATCCATTAAAGACCTCAAAAAGGTCCTCTTAGCTCACATATTGCTGACTCTAAGCCTGTGCAGCAAGCTTGAAGACTTAATTTAGTAGGTGTGCTCTAACATTCAGAAAGCCTTCTGAGAACATTGAAGGTTCTAATCAGTTACCATGACAAGTGTCAAATCCTTGTTCATCACCATAAAATGGAACAGATATTTCTATGTCCAAAATAAAGACAAAAATACAGTGTTACAAGCAAGCAGTAACTACTACAAAAACCCAATAGGCCCTGACACAGTTATTATCTAAGATGTTCAACTTTAAATTACAAGTAAGTCTACAGAAAATTATGAAATAAATTAATAGCAGTACACATATACATGTATATTTACATATATATAAATATTTATGAAAACAAATAGTATAAATTTCTCTTGACCTTTCAGAACAAATATATTAAATCAGCATTTGGAATGCTGCACACTAGTCCATCTTCAAGCACATATTTCTATATCATATATTTTTATTAATTTTAGAGAGTTTCATAAATATATTTTGGTTATATTCACCCCTACTACTCCCTTACATATTATATATATATATATGTATATATATATATATGTAGATATTTTACATATATATGTTGTGCACATAGTTCTTTTCAGATGGTAATATGTATAAACTGTGTGCAATATCAGGAGTTATATATTTTAATAGAATATATAATCAGTTAAGTATATTTAAAAATCCTAAAAATCACTAGACAAAAATTGCTATTATTAGATCAGTGAGTGGCTGCCAAGCTTCATGACTTGAGAGTTAAATCCCCAGGACCCAAATCATGGAAGTGTCCCAAGATACTGCCTGTGTGCATCCATTCTTGCACACACAGTAACCAACCAAATCAATAAATAATACAAGAAATGAAATTTTGTTATCAAAATGACAGAAAATAGCTAATGCTAAGAGGATGTGGAGAACATTTAGTTTACTATTGGTGAGAATGTGAATCAGCATAAGTCATTTTGGAAAATGTTCTGGCAGGTTTAAAATGAATTAAAGATAGAAATACTGTGAGATACAGAAATCCCAGTATTCACTGTATTTCCAGAAACTACAGTATTCACTGTAAAGGAAGTTTGTAGACTGAGCAATAATGAAGTTAAGTTTATGTCTTGTTGTCTGTGACAGTTACTTCTCTCAATGTTATGGCAAAGTACTTGGCAGGAGGGAATTAAGAGAAGAATTTATCTCAGTTCACACATTGATGGCACAGTCGTCCACAGTTGGGAAGCACAGCAGCAGGAGCTTCAGACAATTGGTCTGTTGTGTTCATACATAAGAAGAGGAGACCCTTGAGTTCTGATGCTCAGAGAGAATTCTCCTTTTGATTCAGTCCAAGGCCCCACCTCTATGGTGACTCATCCCAACTTAATTAATCAATAGAGACTTCCTGGAAGATGTTGCTAGAGGTTTTTTCCCTAGGTGATTATAGGTCTAGACATATTGACAATCAAATTTAACCCTTCAGTATCTATAATGCTGTCTTCAATATTTTATATGTAATACTTTCTCAATAAGCATATGTTGATGGCTAAAGGATGTTTTATAATGATGTCATAAGTAATTTCCTGGTTCTTACTTTTCAACACATTTATATTTAGTGTTCATAATTTCATCCAATTTTAGGTAACTATAGTTGATAAAATTTCAATAAGATGATATAATTTTGAAATTACTGAAAGTTGAGTCAGGTTGTAGAGTCAGGTTATGTTTTCAAACGTAAAAGGAATTCAATCTTACAGTGTTTTGTCAGCATAAACAACTTCTGGACATAGTTATATTTCTAAGATTGCTATAGTAATCACATACCAGTTCATATCACAGTTTCTTGATGAATTAAATGTGTTTCCCTATTATATTGCTTCTAAAATTACCGAAATGAAAAAAATTTAGATAATCTTGCTATTATTTTGAAAATTTCTCTTTCTATAAATATATAGATTTTTATATAAATGGTTTTAAAATGTTTGCCAAAATATTATATTTTCCTCACCAACAATGTACCAAATCTGTGCTTTTTATGTATAATATTTTTTTTCTGCTCTGTTGTGCGTCTTCATGGGTGGGCATTTTCTTTTTCTGAACATGATTCTACTGAGAAGTTGCCTTCTAGATTTGTCTAACAATAACATTTCAGTGTAAACTAATCAACATTTTAGCCATGGAAGCACATTTTTGTTTTCCACGCATTTCATTTGTCTTTTAATATGCATATTCAATTGTGAATTCTGTAAAGCTAAATATTAAAAGGTAGATTAATATACAGTAGATTTTTTACAGCAGAATGTAAGGCAGAACAGTGCAATTATCTCTCAATCCTATAAGACTCATCTTTATAATGATACACATTTAAGTAATTTCTCTTCTTTGTACATTTAAAGGTAGGGTACTCTGACCTTACAAACATGATGAAGACTTGTTTGTTTGCCTGTGCTGACTATCTCTGTGTCTGACTCTTTTCAGGGTGATATTCAGCAGTTCTTGATCACTGGTGACCCCAAGGCAGCATATGACTACTGTGACCATTACAGTCCAGACTGTGACTCAACATCCAAGGCTGCTCAAGCTCAGGAGCCACAGATAGATGAGGTGAGGATACAGGACACAGGGGGCTTCAGGTGGCTGTCACCTCCATTTAAGGCATACTTACTGAGTTTTAGTTAAACTATACTTTTAATGACGAGTCTGAATATTTTGAGGAAAAATTTATGCAAAGGTAATTTTCCCTTTGTTGTGATTAATTACTTAGTGCTCTATTTCAGCTCTTTGCGCTTTAACTTTTCTCATAGGAAAGTAGAGAAATAAAACATATTTTGTGCTTTAATTTGTATTGAAAGTATTGATTTTGCTTTAATATAATGTAGAACGTTTTTGAGATGACATAATTAAATTTCCTGCCTTTGTTTCTCCTCCCAAGCTCTCCCATATACCCCCTTTTGTTCAAATATATATACAACCTGATTACTCCCTAATGTGTTACTTGTGTGAATATGTTTTCAGGTCTACACGTTGGTACTGAATTCCAATTGGTGTGTTATTTTCTGAGAAGACTATCTTTTCACATTTATTTTCTGAAAACTAAGAGATTCAAATTGTGAAAGCAGATTTGCATTTTGAGAACAAAATTCTATTTTAAACATAACTCAAGTAGTATGTATGTTATTTTTAAAAACTACATGATTAGGTACAAACTTTGAATTTTAACTACTCAGAATAAATGGACATTTGATTACTTTTATTGTCAAAATGAATACAAAATATGTTAGTTTTTATAATTCAAAGTTGCAATGGTTTGTAATATATTCCTGTGAATTCTGTTGTCCTAATCTTTCCCACAATTTAACGTTAGTATATTTTTTAAGGCAGAGTAAAGTCCTACGAAGCCAGTGAAAGAGCTAAGAAAAATTGCTTGGATGTTTCTTTTGTACAATTTTCAAGTGCCTTATTCTTTTATTTCCTTATGACTTATTAAATATATTTTTGGTGGTTTTGATGGAGAAAACCATCAGGTTAGGTTCACATTTCTATAGCTGTTAGGTCAAAAGTATGTCACTAGTTCTGTGTTCAAAACTAATGGTATTTATTTGGCATTTTCCATTTTATAAGGCAAATAAAATCTGTTTCTTATAGCAAAAAAGTGACTCCACTTAGTGGAAGAAGAGAAGTAGGTGTTCTGTGGATAATGATTGGAAGTGATTATCAGCTTTTAGTGTGTCACAAAAAGATTTACTTTAAGTTTTTTAGGAAGAATTGACTCTTACTTCCCCTAATTTGTTACATTTTTAACTGAATGTAATGAACATTCTATATGAGTTCTAAAACTTAAAAATTTATGCAGTTTTTATAATAATTTTGAATGTTAGTCATTACATATGTCATTATATTCTGAATATGTATTTTCCTAGTTAGTTTCAGGTAGTCTGCCTTAATGATATCAAAGAAATATTATCTTCTCAAGTTTAAACATAAAGTGTAATGTGGAACATAGGTCAAACGTTGTTTAATATTCCATTATTTTTTTTTAATTTACAGAGGCAAGCTAACTCAAATATTTTATTTTTTCTAACTTTTTTTTGTTAGTATCTTTTGTCAATGACAGTTCTCATCAAGGCACAGGCTTTTATGATTGCAGTTTTCTTGTTTTCTCTAAACAAAAATGTAAGGAAAGAAAAATTTCATAAAACTCATCTGTAAGCCAGTTCCAAATTTCCCCTGGAGTACTCATGGAGTCAAGTTTAATTTATCGGCCACACCATACTTTTGTTTCTGTTTTCATTTGTTTTTCTTTTCTCCTCTCATACAATATACCCCTATTATAGTTTCCCAGCCCTCTACTCCTTCCCACTTCACCACCCCTCTGGATCCATCCCCCTCTACCTCTCATTAGAAAGGAATAGGTCTCTAAGAGATAACAATCAAACATAACAAAATAAAATATAGTAAGATGAAGCTAAACTGAAGTTGAACACCTCAACCCAACAAGAGGAAGAGAGTTCCAAGAGCAGTCATTGTGTGAGAGATCCACTTGTTCTCACAGTCAAGAGTCTCAGAAAAACTCCAAGGTATAAACCACAATATATACACAGAGGACCTCATATCTACACATGTAGCCATGTGCTTGCTGCATCTGCAGTTTGCAGAAATACCCAGGAGTAGAGAAAACTGTGAAGATTGGAAGACATTTCTTCTACCAGAAGAAACATGACATAAAATTGATTACTTTGATAAACATTGATAAACATTGACCAATGCATCTCCAAATCCCAGAGCTTAGCCTAAACGAGTTCATTGGTCACATTTAAAACTGGCTTTTTATTGTTTTACTGACAATTCTTTTAGTAGTTTCTAATGTATAGTTTGATTACATTAAAAACTGTGAACAGTAAAATAATCTGCAAATATTTCTTGTTTTGTATATTTTATTTCAAGCCAGCCACGAGTACTTATACATATTTAATATTTCTTATTGCCACATGAGTGATGGTAGCGACAGAAATATTACTCTTTGGTGCATCGTTCTTACTTAATACTTAAAGTCTGACATGGTGGTTGCATGCCTGTAACCTAGCACTTGCATTGTAGAGGCAGGAACATCAAGAGTTCAAGGCCGTATTTGGGTGCACAGCAGTTCTGAGGTCAGATTTGTCAAGAGGAGTCTCTCTCTCTCTCTCTCTCTCTCTCTCTCTCTCTCTCTCT